TGGTTGTTGTGATTGTTGTTGCTGCTGTTGGGCAGCGTTGGATTCCATCTTGCGCAAGTCCAAGGCAACCTTGCGAGCGCGCTGGATCTTCTTGACGACGCCTGGCTCGGGTGCAGAGTGGCGACGGCGGATTGGCTCGTGCGCAGATGAGGGAGCGATCGGACGAGATGCTTGGGCAGCGACGTTTGCGGGGGTGGCCAGTCCGCATCGGACCAGGAAGGGATCCATGCCGAGGCCCTCTGCAATCTCCTGCACAAGGAGAGCGTCGTCCGCGTCATCCGCCTCTGGCGTGATCGGGGCGATGGGAGTAGCAGTGGCGGTGGAGGTAGCCGTGGCGGAGGCAGTGGGTGTGGGCGCCGTGGGATGATTTAGCGTCCATGAGTCATCGGCGTTGCCAACAGCGCCGACATCGCTACTGCTGCTGCTGCCGCTGCTGCTGATAGTAGCAGTAGCAGTAGTAGTAGTAGTGGCGATGGTGGGATGCGACTTGACGTGACGCGGGGTCGGCGGTGGGCTCTCCATGCCTTGTGCGGAGGGCTTTGCGGTTGCAGTGGCCGTGGTGAGATTGGCGGCGTGAGCACGCAATCCGGCCACCCCGCTGAACTGCTGCCCTGTGCTGCTGATGTTGTCAAAGGATGTTGCTGGCGTCACACTGGTCGTCGTCGGTGCGCTGTGCTTGGTCTGGCTGAGTCGGTCGGCGGACTGGGGAAGCGATGTGGCAGACATGCAGATGTAAGGAGAGGGGAAGAAGTAAAAAAAAAAAAAAAAAAAAAAAACACGAGGAAAAGAACAAAAAGATCCGAGAGAAGATACGGAACAAGGAAGGCTTGGGAGATGACGAGATGGACACGAGCACCAAAATGCACCGAGTCAGAAGGGGGAAGGAATGGGATGCAATCCAAGGATTTGGGGGGGGGCGGAGGGAAGGATGAACGAGCAAGGAGCTGGAAAACGAACAAGCCGAAAGACAAAGCTGGGACTTTGTTCGAAGAGTGCCGTTGGGTTTGTTAAGACTGGGCTTCGGGAAGTCGACTTAGATCTAGAGAGGAAAAAAGAGGCGAACAAGATGCGAAACAAAATACAACCAAAAAAACAAAAAAAAAAAAAAAACATGATCGACATTTCAATGAGTCAACAGCCAAACCAACAACCAAAAAGTGTTTTGCTCGCCGCCCCCCCCCCCGCCCCTTGGATCCCTTCTTTGGAACCCCTTGGCTCCTGAGTCTTGGTTTTAAGGCCCTCAGGGGAGCACATGGGGAAAGTTTCTCATTGGGAGCCGAAGGTGTGGTGGTCCCTGAAGAAAATGGGAACCGTTTCTGGATCTTTGCGTATTTGCTGCCAAGAGTCGTTTCCCCAGTCCCCCCCCCGCCGCAGCCCCGCTTTCCCTCCATTAGTTTAGCAGCGTAGCCGCACAAAGAGACAGTCGCCCCAAGGCACAAGAGCGGGCTCTTGCTTGAAAAAATGGACATACGTCCGAAAGGTGGTCAACCGCAAAAAAAAAAAAAAAAAAAAAAAAAAAAAAAAAAAGATCTAAATCCGCGGCTGACGTTCGTTTCGGTTGCCAACACGACTTGTGCCGACGTATCACAGCTACAGCCGCTCTCTCTCCTTTGGCTTTGGAAGAGTGAACTTGGCACAAGAACGGGAGTGAAAGCAGCGGCACAAGAACGGGAGTGAAAGCAGCGGAGAAGCGAGAACGGTGTCGTCGTCAAACATGGACGTGCGAAAAAAAACAAAAAACGCAAAACGGCGATTTTGCAGCCTGTCGCCCAGTGCAACGCTTTTTTTTTGTCTTGTTGGCTCATCAGCTAGGCAAAGTATCACACACACCGCGAGAAAGCGCAAGACGGATTTTTCAAAAGGTGCGAATGCGAAACGCCACTCGACGATGAGCGCAGCAGACCACGTCCTGTCGCACTCATATCGTCATGTCGCCCACCGCGTTGTTGTCGCTTTGATGTGACGAAGGAGGGAGTCGTGGAGGTGGAGGGGAGCAGGTGGGGGGGGAAGAGAGCGAGAGCGAGAGTGCGATTTGAACAAAATGCTGGGTGCGAAAACAGCCCAGCAACAATGAATTGAATGAGATTCGCGCACAACGAGTACTCACAGTTGTTCCCTGCCACACAAAGAGCGAGCGCGCGAAATGTTGGTCAACAAAAGGCAGAGACTGAGAAGGTAGTCAAGAGAATGGAAAAAGTGAATGGGAACAAAACAAAAAATGAAGACTGACTGATTCCAAGGCGGAAAATGGGCGGCGCTTTAAAAAGCCTCGACAATTGGTTTCCAATGTAAACAAAATCTGATCTTTTGTTTGTTTGTTTCGGGCTTTTTTTTTTTTGTGTGTGTGTGTGTTTTCGTGTGTTTGTTTGCCCACAAATACATGGCTTGTGATCACGGCATGTCCTCCTCTCTCTCGCTCTCTCGCTCCGTTCGGTCGTCAAAGGAAAGTCGTTTGGAGAAGGACGGCTGAGTCATGCATGAGCAAGGACGTAGCGGTGCGCCGAGAAATGCGAAAGAAAAGATCTTTGTGGTTAGATCCCGACTCACACCTTCCTGCGTTGGCAATAAACACAACGCTGCACAGTTTCTACGGGGTTTTGTTTTTGTTTCTCCGTGGAGTCAGATGGCATCGGGTTGATCCATAAATCAATCAACTGACACAGGGAGAGGGCAGCGAGAAGAGTTCAAAAAGTCTCCGCATCGTCCCACCTCTGTCTCTCCCTTGCTCTCTTTGCCTGACATCTCTGGCTCAGGCAGAGTCGGAGGGAGGAATAAATCGTAAAGATCATATGTGAGATGAAAGCGATCAGATGTGAGTCGAAGCGAAATGCGTAGTAGCAACCGTTGCGGTGAAGATTCAAAAACGATTGGGCAAAATGATAATGGGGATCTATTGGAGATCTGTTCAAACCGCATCTGACACCCACCCCGTTGCCAAGTCGTCCGCCCCTGACTCCCCTCGCCTCACCGCCTCGCACCCTACGTGTCAGAGCGTGGCAAGGCGCTGCTGGTTTGCATAGAGAAGACGAAAGCAGGCCGGAAGGCCACCAGAACAATGCTAGCGACGATGGCTGCGGCGAAATGAATGCGAAACGCGCAAAGAAAACCACGAAATCTCCCTCGCAACAACATTGCCAAAACTGAAGGAAACGCCGACAGCGCTTCATCGCCCCCCCCCCTTACACTCTTTGACCCATCAGACACGTTTCACGTAATTCTAAACTCTTTTTTGGGAAGGTTGGCGGGTTTGAAAATCAACCCTAAAGCAGTGAAGAGCGGAAATCCAGGATCGGCTGGTTGGAGTGCGTATCAACAGGCCACGCCAATCTCTACCCAGAACACACACTCGCGGTCGGATCGCACTGTCGGATGGTTGACATGACCAACATTGAGCGACGTTTGATGTCAGGAGGTCGACAACGTGGGGTGCTGAGAGCAGTCAGCCAGCCGCGTTAGAAAAAAAAAACCGTCACTCGCGCGAAACCCCAACACTACCAGCAGCCGCATCCGCACCCGCGCCACCATCAACTCTGATCAGTGCATGGCATGAAAAGGTTGCGTACACACGAGGGAGAAGGAGTGCGGTTGGTGGGAGATGACTGGCTGTCGGTGGAGGGGATTGCCGAGAAATGCTGAGCTTGCTCAGCTGAGCTGCTCGCTGCTTCGTTTTCACGGCCAGCGTGGGGCCCCGACCTCAATCACTCCGATCAGGGGCAATCTCCAACTCCTTATCTGTCTCATACTTTGCGTCGTTGCTCTTTGAGAGACGGTCGCAAGCGCATCAGACGAGACCAAACAGAATCTAAGTGTAAAAATGAAAACAAACATTAAACAAAATGGCTCCTGAGCGATCTCTCACAAGGCCGGTGGTCAGCCCAATCCCATCACAAGGATTGGTGACAAGAGTCATTCAAAACGGCATCAGTCAATCAGTAAAAGTCGAGCTGGACAGACAGCGTGAATGCTGGTTGTGTCTTCTTCTTCGACGGCTGTCGCTCCTGGTGCTTTCATCGCATCAGCGCCTTGTCGAGTTGTAGGGCTGCTGTGCGGCGAGAGAGTGCAAAAGCAGCCAAACGCATGTGTGTGCGCGTGCGATCGCGCATTCCATTTTGTGGATTGGGGTTTTGGGTTGTTGGCTTTGGTTGGATTTCTGAGACGAGCCAGTCCGCTTACCGATTGCTGTACTGTACTGCACTGCAGCGACTGGAAGCAACAAGAAGAGTGAGCATCAACTCCAGCAAGTGTCATCAAATCCGTCAGACTTACTTTGAACGATATGGAAAAATTCAGACAACGAGCGAAAAAAAAAAAAAAAAAAAACGACAACCGCAAAAACAAAAAAGCGAATCCAAATGCGAATGTGACTCATTTAACATGCCTGCGCTGAGACGACTTGCTTTGCAAAATTACATTTAATAGATATAAACGAACTAGCAATACAGCGGGGTAAAATGAAAGACCGCACTAATACAACAACAGCAAGAAAAGGCAAAGTTAACGATGTCACGAAACGAAACGGCAAAAACGCAAAAAATACAACCAAAATCGAAAATCGAAAATCTGAAAAAGAACGAGCAAAAGAAGAGCAAAACGACCAAGTACAATTAAGATTCATGTAGGTCTTTGACTGAGTGTTTCAAAAAAAAGCATGTACAAAGCGGACGGGAGGAAAGAGAGAAAGGAGACAGAGGCCCGAGAACGCCGGGAATGAACGCTGGGCCTCAGATCATGTACGCGTTGTGCTGGACCGAGCTGGGGTGGACGGCCATTTCGTAGTACTTGAACAGAATGATCTCCCGGCGGATTTCCTCAATCTTGGCGGGTGTGAGCGAGCCCAGCGCAACCATGGTGCGGTCGTAGTCGGTGGGCGTATAAGTTTGGTGCACATTGACCGTATCGCTGAAGGAGACGCGTCGTTGGATGCGGCAACTGCTGGAAGACGGGCGAGACTGGATGAGCGCTGGTTGCGGAGGGGCAGAACTCGAGCGCTGCGGGCGGTTGGACAAGCCGAAGGAGGAGGCGTCGCCCAACGCAACATGCATGTCAGAAGTCGCAAAGCTGTGGCAGTCGTCATCCTGTTGAGACGTTGCTTCACAGCTGCGAGACGACGCGGCAGTCGGGGAGGACACGGTGGAGAGCTCTGATTCGTTATGGAAGTCGTCGATGCAATTAGACTGCATCGGAATCGCATCGGACTCGCGTTGCGTGTCGCCGCCAGCCTCGCAGAGTTCGGTTGCAGTGGGGTTATTGCTCAACGCAATCATTTGGGCGGCGTCCTCCTCGCTCAAGGCGCTGAGGGATGGCTTGGCAAGCCGTGACGAGCTCAGCGAGGGGGTGTGGTCGCTCGCGTTGTTGTTGTTGTTGTTGTTGTTGCTGTCGCTTGACTTTGGTGCTGCGACGGGCCATTGCTGTGCCATAGCCTGCCCTACGCTTGTTTCGGGGTGTACAGAGTGGCTCTGAACAAGCTGACGGTGGCGGCGGAACTGGACGGGGTCCGAGAAGCGCCGTGAGGTCAAGCTGTTCATCGTGTCGTTCTGGGGGCTGCTGTTATTGCTGACGGAGAATACGTTCGACAGCTCGACGCGGTTGCATACCATTGCTTGCATGGCTCGTGCGACAGGAGAAAAAATAACTAGAGATGAGAAGAGAGTTGTGTGATTGTTGCGCGCTTTTGAGCGACAGGAAAGGAAGCAGAGGGGGCGAGGGAATTAAGAAGAAAAAAATGACGCGACAAAGCAAAAAAAAAAAAAAAAAAAAAAAAAAAAAAAATCGTATGCGTCAATAATTGGTTTCAGATCTGAAAAAACGAAAAAAAAAATCGCAAAAACGTGAAAAATGAAACAACGTGAATTGGGGAGAAATACAAGACGCGCGAGTCGGCGTGGAAGCAGAAGAGCGAAGAGAAGAAGTCAAACTAGTGGTTGGAGAAGAGGAAGTGAGTGCCAAAGGCGAGGGGGGGGGGAAGAGAAGGAAACTCAAGAAAAAGCCAAAAAGAAAAAAAAAATGAATAGGACTGAACGCTCATCCAAATGCGGACGCCCGCTTTTAAACGAGCCCAATTGGCCAACACCCCGAGTGCTACAACCTGCTGCCCAGGACAGGCCGGGGGAGGAAGGGGAGGGGCTTCCCTACCAACAAGGCTTAGGGCCATAACAAGCCTCAGGAGACGGTGGTAGGCGGGGAAATGAGCCATCACAGAAAGTCAAAGCGAATCGCGAGGAAGGAACAAATTTGTGTCTGTATGGTATGAAAGTTGTTACCTTTGCTGCACGCTCTGCGAATGTTGAATGCAATGATATTAGCAAACCCTCTGTGCACGGGGTTAATGTTGTTGTGACTGGCAAATCGTGATTTTTTTTTTTTTTCTTTTGAATGGTTGTTTTATCTATTTTTGTTTTGAGAAGCGCGAGTTTTGATTGGCCGACGAGATCCGTCCCCGATCAACACCCTCGCTCTTGAGCGTCCTCGCTTTCTATTTGCTGGCTGCTGCTTTTGGTCGCGTTGCAAAGCTAAATTATGGTACAGGTGTCTGGAACACATGAGACACAGTCAAGACAAAACACACAATGACCAACGAACGCGAAAACACTGCTTCTCGCCAATTATTGTTTTTTGGGGATTTTTTTTTTGTTTTTTGGTCGTATTGACATTGGACCTGGCTTGCAATGTTGTGACGCATCTTGTGTACAAATACCATTTACACCCACCAGTTAAGCGCGTTTTTTATTTTCCCTTTTGTTTCTTTTTTTCTTTCTTCTTCTTCATTCACGTTTCGCAGGGATGATGACAGGATGGCCCGTTCCCGGCAATCGCGCTTACCTGACGTCTGTAAACCAGCTGCTCCTACTCGAGCTGCAGGTGTTGCAGTTGCAAAACAACGCAAGAGGAAACGAAGCGAACAAGCTGGAGAGGACAAGAAGCGAAACCGCTGCAAATTTGAAACACACCCAAAACAAAAAAAAAAAAAAACAAGAATCAACGCAGGACTAAGACACGGCTTTTTAAGGTCTGACGACAGAGTAAGCAGCGGAGCAATACTGTATAGATCTCCTGTCATTGAACGATCTGCCTCTTCTTTCGCTCATGCTGCCGTTGGGCTCTAGCAGTGTGCGGGGGGGGGGGAAAAAACAGGTGAGGACGCTTTCATCGTGACGTGAATAGATCAACCGGTGAGGTTGTTTTGTTTACTCCATGCGAAACTGCACTGTCGGAATACTTTCTCGCACAATTAATTTGGTGTGGAAAAAATATTAAAATACTTCACGCCCAGCGGCGAAACGTTGAACACGCCATATTGTTGGCAATTGTGTTTCCCCAGACACAACTCAACCCTTTTCCCCTCCCCCTCTCCTCCCACCACCGTTGGTCCGCATTTCGTTCGTTTTATCCGTGCTGTGCACATTAGACAAGTGCGAGAAACAACATGCCATGCGAAATACCACGCAAGCCGAGGGATTTGACAGGGCGTAAACAAAAAAAGTTAAAACTCGAGTCGCTTGACAACAAGATTCGCAACAGGTTACCGCCCCCAGCCAATCTGCGCATAACTCCACAAAGACCTTGATGGTCAAGCAGCACAACAGACAAGTGGTTTGTAGATCGTGATAAACAAGCAGCGAGGTGGCGTCAAATTTAATGGGCGGATTAAACAACAACAACAAAGCGCATCGAACAAAAACATCATGGGTTGCCATCTTGCAGGTGTGGAAGGAGCAAAGCGCGAATACGAGCACTCGCGAGATCGAGCGCTGACTGCTCATCGACATTCCGCACAGAGGCGTCGGCTCGGTGAGCAGTAATCAGTTCGACGGCCAGCTCGCCGTGCTCTTCCGAAACAGCCAAGTGCCTGTTGTCAAGGCGAAAGAAGGAGCAGGGGGGGGAGGGCCAGATGTGAGTTGAATCATCGAATTGCGTGCATTCCTGACTGATGCTCCATCCGGCTGTTCCCCGCATTTTGTCCACAGTGTCGAAGTCGCTAGAATCGACACTCAGGGACTATGGGCAACCAATGAAACACCGTGCGATGTGCTGCATCCGATGCTGCATCAGACTAATGCCCGATGCAGCAAGCCTCGGGCAGACAAGCTGGTGGCAGACAACCAGACAACAGGACAAGGAGAAATCTTACAAAGCAGTGCTTTTTGTCCGATCCAGAGCATTGACACTGGCACCACCAGCAATAAGAGCTTTGCACATTGCAGTATGCCCCTTGATTGCAGCGCGGTGCAAGGGGCTTGCGCCAGTGTTGTCCCGGGCGTTCGCGTCTGCGCCATGCTCGAGCAACAATTTGCTCACCTAAACAGCCAATTCCCGCAAAAACAAACAAAAAAATGCGCAGGCCGATGATGGTCAGCCAACAACTGGGTGCTTGAGGGTCTCATGTTCCCTCCTATCAAATGAATGTACCGGGAGGTGGTTCTTGCTGGCAGCGTAGTGCAACGGAGTTTGCTTGGAATCCGTCGTGTTGGTTGGATTGGCGTGCTTGACAAGCAATTGTCGGACGATTCCTTCATTTCCAACAGAGGCTGCAATGTGTAGAGGAGTCCAGCCCGACTATGTCGTACCAACAATGCATTCAACTTAGTACGATCATTGACAGACCATTGCGAAGCATTGAAACCCGGTTCACAAGCAAGAGTCTGCTTACATCGTCCGCTGCGTTCACGTCCACGGGCGGTTGCTGAGCCAGGATGAACTCGACAATCTCGGGGTGCGATCCTGAGCATGCCCAGTGGAGGGGCTGGCGATCGTCCTGCTCAACGGCAAACGAGAAAGCGCGGTTCCAGAAACCAATGCAAAACACTGTGAGTCGTGGCTTTCACGCAGAGCCGGCTTTTGCGTGGGTTGAAATTCAGGACGTGGTCGATCACACAAGTCCGATGACTCATCTTGGTGGGGCGTGGTGGCTGGGAGGGGCAACAAACCTCGTCTTTGGTCGTCAGGACGCGCGTGTCGTTGTTCACTGCGGCGATGAACTCGGCCTTCTTGCCCTCGAAGGCCATTCGGCAGATTGCAGCACCAGACATTTGGAGTCGAATAGTATCACAGCGATGGATGCTGACGTTTGACTTGAATACAGGAGTGTTGAGCTGGGTCTGTTCACAAACAGGGACTGGATTGAGGTAATGCAAAAGCTGCAAACCTTCGGCTACCATCGCCGGCTGGACGGACTCGGCTCAGAGTTGTATCAAACGAATGCTCGAGTGATGGAGATTCTGAAAATGATGCGCTTGTTCGCTTTGGAGCGAGTTTGCGTTTTGGAGATTGACTTTTGGTCTGCGCAACTGTAATTGTCGGAAGAAGACCTGCGGCTTTCATTTTGAAGTCCAAAACACAAGCTCGTGTTTCTGATCAATATTACCATCATACAATAAAAATATCCAGACTGGACGTTGATTCCATCCAAATTCTGACGGGATAACTCGATCCCTACTGCCTTATTTCATAAACGCTAAACCATTCGTTTTTGCACAACGCCTTTCATCCACTCCTGCACACTATTCCACCACTCTCTCGCCCTCAATCAACTAAAAATTATATTTCACATCCGCTGGTGAGGTCGTTCGTCTCGTTCGTGGTCGTATTTCCAACGCTACCCTCGCTCAAAGTTCCCCATTTGGAGTTCTCTGAATCCTCACTCTTTTTTTTTTTTTTTTCTTTTTCTTCTCAACCTCATTCACAATGGTAAGCCACATGCGGTTCTGCTTTCCCCTGCTCTCTCTCTTTCTCTCAGCTTCCATCTCGGCTTCCCTCTCTCGCGCGCGTTCTCTCGCTTCACATACCGCTTACTACGCATCCCAGCACAGTCCTTCAGCGCGGCGAGGAGCGAGGGGGGGGGGAAGATGCTCACACAAAGCGACAGACAACGAAAATCCAGCGATCTCTCTCTCTCTCTTTGTCCTCTGCTGCTTTCCCCTCCCCCTTCGGACTGCTCTTGCTGATGAGACCAACCGTTCTTACCCTTGTTGCGCTCTGCTCTCTCTCTCTCTCTCTCTCTCTCTCTCTCTCTCTTTGTAGACCGTCCGCGTGTCCGAGATGAAGGACTTGACGCGCATTGAGCGCATTGGCGCGCACTCGCACATCCATGGCTTGGGCCTCAACGACGCGCTCGAGCCGCGCGAGGTCTCGGACGGCATGGTGGGCCAGCTGGCAGCACGACGCGCCGCGGGCCTCATTCTCGAAATCATCCGCCAGGGGAAGATTGCCGGTCGCGCAGTCCTGATTGCGGGTCAGCCAGGCACGGGGAAGACGGCGCTGGCCATGGCAATGGCGCAAGCACTGGGCGCGGACACGCCGTTCACGACCATCTCCGCAAGCGAGATCTTCTCGCTGGAGATGAGCAAGACCGAGGCACTGACACAGGCATTCCGCCAGTCGATCGGCGTGCGCATCAAGGAGGAGTCTGAGATTATCGAGGGCGAGGTCGTCGAGATTGTCATTGATCGACCTGCAACGGGCGCCGGCCAGCGTCGCGGCAAGCTCACGCTCAAGACGACAGACATGGAGACGCTGTACGAGCTTGGCCAGAAGATGATCGAGTCGCTGACCCGCGAAAAGGTCCAGGCCGGCGATGTCATTAGCATTGACAAGGCCACTGGCCGCATCACCAAGCTTGGCCGCTCGTACGCGCGTGTCAAAGAGTACGACGCCATGGGCCCACAGACAAAGTTTATTTCTTGCCCCGAAGGAGAGCTCCAGCGGCGCAAGGAGGTTGTGCACACGGTCACCCTCCACGAGATTGATGTCATCAACAGCCGCACCCAGGGTTTCCTCGCCCTCTTCTCTGGCGACACTGGTGAGATCAAGTCCGAAGTTCGCGAGCAAATCAACGCCAAGGTTTCCGAGTGGCGCGAGGAGCGCAAGGCCGAGCTGATTCCTGGTGTAAGTGTTTGATTGATTGGACGAGTTTTTTTCTGTTTTTTTTTTTTGTTGTTGTTTTTGTCTGCTCCTTTCCTGCCCTTTTCCTTCGTTCTTTGCGTTTGCATGAATCTCACCGCTTTTTTTTCTCTCTCTCTCTCTCCCCCCCCACACCGTCTGGTTTGCGCTCGTCCTCAGGTCTTGTTCATCGACGAAGTCCACATGCTTGATATCGAGTGCTTCTCCTTCCTCAATCGCGCGCTTGAGAGCGAGATGGCTCCCATTCTGATTATGGCCACAAACCGCGGTATCACCCGCATCCGTGGCACCAACTACAAGAGCCCCCACGGCATCCCGATCGATCTGCTCGATCGTCTGATGATCATCACCACCACCCCTTACACTGAAACCGATATTGCTCAAATTCTCCGTATTCGGTAGGTCCACACGTCTATGATGGATGGGGGGGGGACTTTCTTGTTGATTGCTCTGCTGGACATTGTGTGTGCTCACGCTTGTGCCTCCATAGATCCGAGGAAGAATCTGTGACACTGTCCCCCGACGCACTTCGCATTCTCACCAAGATTGGAACAGAGGCGTCTTTGCGCTATGCCATCCAGCTCATCACAACCGCAAACTTGGTTTGCCGAAAACGCAAGGTTGGTGTTTGCCTTTTGGTGTTGTTTTCGATTTTTTACTTGGTCTTTTCCGTCGTGTGCTCATCTGACTATCGCTCCAAATCAATCATCCTCTGTCAATAGGCGACGGTGGTCGAAGTTAGTGACATTAAGCGCGTTTACAAGCTCTTCCTGGACGAGACGCGATCGGCGCAATACCTGAACGATTTCCAGGACGAGTACGCCTTTGACAAGCTGATGGCCGAGCGCGAGCAGCAAAAGCAAGCCGCAGCACCGTCAGGCGAAGCGATGCAAATGTCGTAAAATGCAAGCCCCGTTTCATTATTAAAATTACAGTTTCTTTTTGGTTTTAGACTGCTCTTGCAAGCTCGGCCAATGGACGGAGAGAGGTGCAACACCATGCTACCACCGCTCTTTTGTTCTTTGCCAAAGAACAAATGGCACAGGAAACGAAAAAGAAACAAAAAGAAAAAGAGAAAGATATATATTATTTCGTCTCAAAAGTAAAAAATGGAATGTTTGGCTGACTACTTGGACTTTGCTTTGGTGGCGCGCGGCTTGGCTGGAGCCTTTGTTGCTGGCGATTTTCGCTTTGCGGGTTCAGGCGCAGGAGCGGGAGCAGTAGCAGTAGCAGGAGCAGAAGCAGGAGCAGGAGCAGCTGCCGGTGTGGCTTCCGCAACACTGGCGGACGCTGTGCCTTCTACAGCGCCCGAGCTGGGAGCGCTAATGACGGCTGGCTCACTGGCAGCGGGTGATGTACTGCTTGACGCAGGGGCATCGGGCCGCAGCGGTTCGGGCAGCGGAGCAGCCGCAAATGCGGACGCAGCGGCGGGCTTGCTGGGCTTTGGCATCTCGACGCTGAAAGCAGATTTGGACTGTCTGCGAGCAACGGGTGGTGCGGGTGGCGGAGGCAAAAGCTCTTCATCGAAGGGCAAAGGGTGATGCTCCACAGAAGCAGCAGATTTGCGGCGCGTTTTCATTGGAGCGGCTTCGGCTTGTTGCATGCCAGCGTGCACCTAATGCCAGTTGCGACAAGAACAAAAACCAGACCAGCCCAGTCAGAAACAAACAAACACACACACACACACACACACACACACACACACACACACACACACACACACACACACACACACACACACACACACACACACACACACACACACACACACACACACACACACACACACACACACACACACACACACACACACACACACACACACACACACACACACACACACACACACACACACACACACACACACACACACACACACACACACACACACACACACACACACACACACACACACACACACACACACACACACACGC